TTTATACTGCAGCATTTAGCTAGAAAGACCTTCAAGAAAAGTGGTTTTTAAAAGCATGTATCATCATCACTCTCAACTGGGAAAGCAGAAATTGTGTTTTTAAGACTTGCATTGCCTGGTTTTTCAGACACTGGACATCTATCTATAAACAGATGGATTTAAAACAATGCAACAAAATCTAGCTGCCTTTGCCATGTTGTCTAGCTCTCACCAAGTTTCTCTATCCATATCATCTGTCCACAAAGAAGTAGGACTTTTGCTTGGGAAGAGATAGTTTTCCAGGTTTTGTGGGCCCTAGGCTGGCCCTTGCCAAGATAGCATGCTATCACCTTTTTTCATTTTTATTTTTAATGAAAAAAAAAGGTTTTTGTGTAGCAAACCTTGACTTTAGACACACACCACAAGGAGCCCAGATTGCAGCTCTCACCAGCAACTAAAAGCTAGAGCATAATTTTGCTGTTTCCCCATTCCCTTATGCAAGGAGCACAGCAAGTAAGAGTGGCAGCTGGCATGCAATTCGTGGGCTGAGGAAGATCACTGCTGCAAAGAGTACCAAAACCTTGTATTCTGACCTGATATCCAGCTGACAACACTGCTGCACAGTGTTTAATGACTTCTCCCAAGCCTGAGACCAACTCATCCCACCAAAACAGGTGACACTCAAACCCAGTGAGACAATTCCATCAATACTCCATTTCCAGAAATGTGGTCTGAGATTAAGAAGTCACAAATCAAGACTTATTTCTATTGTGCCCAAGTAGCACACACAGGAACAGACACAGCAAAGGCAAACTGAGAGTAGTTTTGATTCAGTTAGGATGAACATTAGAGCAACCATAGTAGCCAGATGAGAGACTTGTATATCTTATAGCATGTATCGGAATAAAGAAAAAAGCAATACCAAAATACTTTCCACCTGGCAATCTACCCTTAGAGGTTTTCTGAATCAAAGATCATAAGCATTTATTTCACTATCTGCTCTATGGGGGACAGATCCACAGATGGGTTGCCATGTCTTTACCGAGACTGTCTGAATAGATACATACTTTGATACATCAACATCACCCTCCAGCAAGAAGTGCCACAGGTCAATTACAGCATTCTTTCTCCTTAGTTCACAAGATCTGCCTGAAATCATATCACTTTATTTCTGTAAAATAAGAAACAATAAATATTATTTGTCTTCTTCAAGTCTCACCCACAGTTCTACATACACTCCTTTTATATCCTCAGACATCTTCTCTCAAAACAAAAACCTTAATTCAAATTTCTCACAATGCATAAAACATGCTGTAAGTTTCATCATGCATGTCACTTTTTAATGTATTTTTTCTAGTTTTAAGATCTTGGAGATGACCAAAAGAACAGGCACACTTCAAGACCTGGGAAGGTGAGATTCCTTCAAAGCCATAAACAATTCCTTTGTATTTCCCCTGCTACTGCTGCCTCAGTAATTCCCAACACCACTCGTCTCCTAGATGGCAACCGGAAATAGACCTGCTGTTCTACTCTTAACAGTCCCAATGACTCAGAGCTCTCTTTCCTGAACTGCAATAGTTTGATTTAGAAAAACACCTTTCATGTTACAGTATAGCTTGCAATGCTGCCCCCCACCTCAATCCATGTTCTCCCATACACATTACTTTACACTTACTGATAGTGAATTTCCTCTGTTACGTATAGCTCATTTACAGTATGTAGTTTTGTGTCATTGCCCTGCAACTCTTCTTCTGCTGGGCTACCTTCTACCAGCAAACCTCTGTTACTTATCCCTCTCACAGCTCTTTTAGCACAGACTTTGCACCCACCTCCACACACACAAAATAAAAAAATATAAACTGTGCCTAAAATTTCTAATTTCAGACAAGCTTCAACTGCCTTGTAGATGCTAAAACAAAGCTAACAGCAGCACAGTCACTGGTCCTAAATTCAAACCTCTCCTTCCACTTTCCAAGAGACCCTTCTTTCCTCTGCTTTCAGCTTAACAGTTTATTTTTAAAAGAAAAAATCTGAGTCTCAAGAAACAATTTAATGGGAGTTCAGAGGAAATGAAGTAATGACAAAAACAAAACAGGAATACTGCTCCAGTTGGTCTGGAATGAGGGCAAGTGGAGAAATTGTGCTATGAAATTCAAGGATCTCTGCCATTAATTATAGTTGCATGAAAAGATACTATTTCATTGCCATCTCAGTAATACCTATACATGGACAACAGATCTTCCTTTACAATAAAGCTACATAACTGGAAATAGTAAAAGACAGTTCACACTCTTAGGGACTTATTTTGCAGTATTTCAGAGTATAGCAGATTTAAGACTGCATAAATAATCTTATTTACTCCCCTTCGCACATGTGTGTCCATATGATTTTAATTTCAACATTCAAGCAATTGATTTTGTGAACTAAAGCATAGCTAATTACACAACTTGCAGAATAATACCAGAGTATCCCAAAATTTAGAAAAAAAAGAAAAAAAGCTACAGCTATTGCATGCAACATACCAAAAAAAGACCCACGGAGTTACTCTATTCTGTGGTATTCTGTTTTCATCTGTGCCAGTACTCAATTACTGAATTGCCTACCACGGCTTTCCTCTGAACAATCCTTACAACTATCTATCTGAAAGAATCATATTGGAATAAATTGTCTAAAAATAAGAAAATCACAGTCAGTGTAAGATAAAACTCCTTAGAAACATTCTGTGACACACTAACTTAAAACCATAGCTGAAAACTAAACGCATAGTATTCCGGAACTACATCTAAATGCTACACGAGTCATCAAATGCACATGAAAGAAGAAAACCTTTCAGAGGTATTAGCAACAAAGGTTTAGAGATTTCAACAGAATAGAGCTTATTACTGCACAATCAACAAATTTAATTTGCCTGGACCTGTAAAGAATGCAAGCTCTGCAACTGGGCCTTTTGAATAAAGAGCTGGCAAAGGCAGTTTGGCCACTGGGCTAAGAATGAACTGAGTTAACATTAAGAGGTGCAGTTATAAGAGCTGTAATACCGACAAACAGCCTTTATGCAAATCCTCAGCATATAGTCCAAGAATCACAAAACACCACAGTCAGCAAAAGAGGAAAAAATACATCATTAAAGATCAAAAGTGAAGATTTTGGTAGGCTATAAAATAGTAGTCCATTTTCTCCTTAAAGACAGATGAGAAAATAGTCTCCTTACAGTTGTGTCAATTCATAATAAATAGTTCGGATTCTAAAGGTCAACATACTGAATTAGCCAGCGAAGTCCTCTTCGGAGGTTTGCTTCAAATTGAAAACATCTCCAGGGATTAAGTAAAATCCCCTCTGGAAAAGGCAGTGAAGAATGAAATAAAAAAAAAAAATAAAATAAAATTTAAAAAAAAGGATGACTAACAGAACTTTGTGAGTAAGCCTTCCTTCCCCTCTGTAATCAAAACATAACACCAAAAGAAGTCTCTCAGACTACTGTCAAACTTTTTATATCTTGCAAGAATGAAGACCAGGGTGGCTTCAAGTCCTTCTAAAGATAAAATACTATTTTGTTCAGATTTAACATGCTCAAGAAATAACAGTGTAATGAAACAAAAATCGTGAAACTTTTAACCAAACCTTTTGTAAACCCAGTAATTAGACACAACAGTCTGGAGAGGGTCCAAAGGAAGACCCCGAAGATGATCAAAGGGCTGGAGAGCCTGCCCCATGAAGAAAGACTGAAGGATTTAGGTCTCTTCTCCCTGGAGAAGACTCAGGGGGCACCACAACACAGTAATCCAGTACCTGAAGGGCAGCTACAAAGAGGATGGAGGCTCTCTCTTCACAAGGAGCCCCATAGAGAAGACATGGGGCAATACGCACAAGTTGCAAGAGGAGAGGTTTCACCCCAGTATCAGAAAGAAATTGGTAACAATCATTCACTGTAACAACCTCCACAGGGACATGGTGGAGTGCCTGACACTGGAGGTTTTCAATATATGATTGGACACAGTGATAGATGATCCCTTCTAGGCTGCCTTTCCCAGAAAAGGTTGGAACAGACAATGCTTCCAGGTCCCTTCCAACCTGGTCTGTTCTGTGACGATTCTATGAACAACTAATACAACACAGACTGAATTTTATCATTTCAATCATAATGCCAGAATCTGATTCAGATGTTCAGATGGGTCTAGATGTTTCTTCACGGTGTTTAGTTACGAATCAGTGAAATGAACTTATAGGGAGGTACACTCAGAAAACCCCACAAGTTTAGTCATTAGTTTTAAAATTTAGTCATTTTAATCAACCTTATTTATTCCCCCAGAGGTGTACTCATCCAGCATTGTGTCCATGATTAGAAGCTTTATACCAAATTGAGCTGGTACCAGGATCTTCCCAAATGGTTACTCGTTCTCAGCCATTAAGATAGTCAGCTGAATCTTTTACTGCATCCAGAAGTTTTCTGGTTGAATCCTGTAAAACAAATCAACTTTGTATGGCCCAAAGAAAATTCTGTCCCCTCTCTCCCAGAAATCTAGATTTTCCCCTCAACCCACCACTTGCTTTATCTTTGTCATCTACACCATCACTGTATTTGCCCTAAGTCAGAGGGTGATCTTTGTCCTTCAAAGCAGGCTTGCTAAAACAGCATATCCAAAGGAGAAGCACACAGGCAGGACCAAGGCTCAACTTGCTGCTCTAGTTTAGCATCCTAAGCATTATACATTTACAGTCCTTACTTTACAACAAGCCCAAGACACAAACATACAGTGCACACTAAATCCAGGATACCCACTTTCTTTAAAGTTCAACATTTTTCAGAGCAAGTAACTCTTCTTAAAATAGATGTTCATTCACTTTCACAAAAGCTACTATCAGCCAGCAGTCTTTTCTCCATTTTAAATTAGCAGGAAATTAAAACAAGGTGCACATGCCTGCTGTCTCTATGTGAGAAATTTGGGGTTTTTTTAATATCAATGTAGCAGAAAATAGCCAAAGACACTCCATAGGGTTACTGTGTACTACTACTGAAGTACACTCAGGATCTGCATGCTTAATATACCCATAAACAGGTGGGAGGTGCAGGATGCTCTTCACATACTTCCTGGCACACAGTCCTGGCAGGTTACTGATAACCACCAGTTCTTGTTCAATAACTTTTTCATCAAAACTTAAGACTCTGATGTTCACTGAACAGGCTCCTTCGCCTTCTGTTGATAAACACAGCAAAGTATCCTTTAAATAAAATAAGCCTGTTACTAATGTGAGTATTGGTCTCACAGGTGAAGATCTCTTACAGAGTCACGTAACAACCACAGAGGAATCTCAAAAGATGAGTTTCATATAACTATGCAAAGGGACAGTGACAACTTGTTAAGCACATCCTCTGAAAAGATGCTCATTAACTTCTGCATATTTAGCATTGAAAGATCCTCTGCTCCATAGGGTCAAAAAATCACTGCTCTGATAGAGTAAGACTCTTTAGTCTAAGCAATGGAACTGGTAGCACTGGCAATGACCTGATGGAGCAAAAGCCCTGATTCAAAGGCCACACCTTTTTCTAGGGCGTTAAAACACACAGTTCCATTAATGTGTGTAGCTTTCACTACAGGAAGATATTAATACCTTAAAAATAGTTAATGTGTTAAGCTTCATTGCACACCACAAGAGAATGGGAATTTACAACAACTCAAGAGAGTAAAAACAAAGGTTTCTGTATTTGGAAGCCATCAGCCAGCTCTCAGATATTTTAGAAAACAAATCCAGCATCCTGAAGCTCAATACTAGGTAAGCAGTAACAATAACACTCACAGAAATGCCTCCAAATGCAAGGAGCTATAGCCCAGCAAAGCCTTCAGCTGCAAAGAGGGCTGTAACAGACATTCCAATCTAAAACCCGACTGGCTCTCTACCCCCCCAAGCAACATTTAGCATCAAAACCTAGCAGCTGAGAAACAACTCAGACCATTCCTGAGCACCACGCTGAAGAGTTCACCCCCGCAGGAAACGAGCTTTTATGCACAGGTTTGGGCATCAATGCAAGGTTAAAGCAAACTAAGCACAGATCCCGGGACAGGTTATAACCCTGAAGAAGCTGAAGTGCCAGAAAACTCACAGGTGCCAAGAAAGGAGGCCTGGAAGTGCCAAACACCAAAGGAAAATGCCCAGGGTGACAAGTGATTAAATGCATCAACAGGGACGCTAAACCAGCATGAACACTACAGATGCTGCAGTGGCAGAGTTAATGCTCTTCCATTTGTCTCTTTGGACTGTTTCTGAAGCTTCCACGTACACATCCAAAGGCCCGTTTCGCTCCCGAAGCCTGCCGTGTGGGCTGGGGGAGCTCCGCCCCCGCCGGGACACCGCGCCCCCCACCACGGCCACCCGGCGCCGCTTGTCACCAAGGGGACCTTCAGGTTTGCATTCACAACGACAAAAATACATTAAGCCGGGTTTTCTCAGCCCTGCTGTGACACTGCTCCGCCGA